AGACATGGTGGAATATATATCTATAATATTAAAGCTAAAGGAGTGTGCTTTTCTTCAGTGCTTTCTCTCTCATTCTCTCTTTGTTCCTTTTGGGTGTGGGTCCAGCCCATATGGAGGGGCCCACCTCACCTTCATTTACTCCCTAAAGAAAATGGAGTTGAATAGTGGGTTACCACATTATTCGGTCTCGGTTTTTTGGTGGTGTCAAACTAGTAACCACCGAACAGAGAAGGACGAAGAAGGAGAAAAAAAATTACAGAACCAAAAAGGAAAGTTTTTTCTTGGTTCTTTGAGTTTTGTGAAGAAGAGGAAAAAGCTGACACTTGTTCCATTCAAGATCAAGTTCGGAGGTGCCTTTCAAGCCCGTTCTTGATAATATTAAGTGTTGGAGTTAAGAATCCCACTCTAGTTCAGATTTGGTGATTCTTCTTCCTTTTCTCTACTTCTCAGTTCAGATTTATAGCAACTTGGTGAGATCTAAACTTATGTTTGTGTTGTATCCACCTTGCATTTGGTAATGTTAATGTTGTTCTTGTGAGCCAATGATTATTTCCTTGATGTTTGTAAGTCTCTAGTTGCAACTAGAGAAGACTATTGTACCCATTAATTTCTGAATTAGTGGAAGATTTTTACGGACCATAGGTCCCATGGTTTTTCCCCAATTTTGGGGTTTTTCACGTAAAAATTCCGGTGTGCTGTTGTGTGGTGATTGTTATATGTTTTTCTGTTACTTGACTGAATTGTTTACTTGTTATTATTGTTGTTGGCAAACCCATTTTGACACATAAATTTGGAGAAAGTTTCTTGTTGTCCTGGGATTGGTTTTACATTCATTTCTGCTACTATAGTGTAACTTACCCAACAGTGGTATCAGAGCCAGGTTGGGTGAAATTAAATGTTTGTGTTGATACAAATGGAGGAATCCTCGGGTGTTTTGATAAAATTGACTTCATCGAATTATGCCATTTGGAAACCCAAAAGGGAGGACATTATTTATTGAAAAGATTTGTACCTACCCATAAGAGGTGATGAAGTAAAGCCAAGTGACAAGTCAAGTGATGAATGGGGAATCATGCATAGAAAAACTGTAAGCCAAATCCGATAGTGGATTGATCACAGTATTTTTCACCATGTTGCACAAGAAACTAGGGCTGATGTTTTATGGAAAAAATTAGTCTATGTATGAAAGGAAAACAGGTTTAAACAATGTTGCCTTTATTAGAAAACTAGCACACTTGAGATATAAAGATGGGACTAATATGTTTGAACATTTGAGTGATTTTCAAGCTTTGATAAATCAATTGACTACTATGAAATTGAATCTGGATGATGAAATGCAAGCCTTATTGTTACTTAGTTCTTGCCTGACAGTTGGAAAACCTTGGTGGTTTCAGTCAGTAATTCAGCCCCTAATGGTATAGTAACCATTGACACAGTCAAAGATGCTTTGTTGAATGAAGAATCCAGGAGGAAAGAACAATGGACTTAATTAGAATCTCAAGCTCTTGTAACAGAAAAGAAAGAAAGATAGGGAAGAAGTAAGAGTAGAGGTCCCCGTAACAAATATGATAAATCCAGAGGAAGGTTCAGGTTCAAGAAAAATATCATTTGTCATCACTGTAATAAACCGGGACATTACAAAAATGAATGCAGAGTCTAGAAAAGAGAACAAGCCAAAGGGAAAGGTGAAGGCAAGAAAGAAGAAAAAGATACTACAGCTGTTGCAGCCGAGGGTGATGTTGTTATTGTTTGTGATGATAATTATGTCAACTTTGCATACCCAGACAGTGATTGGGTCATAGATTCGGGTGTTTCTTTTCATGTTACTCCCCATGGTGAATTTTTCAAAACTTACACTACATGTGATCTTGGACATGTTCATATCGAGAATGCTGGTACATCTAAGATCGTTGGCATGGGAGACATTTGTCTAGATAGCAATACTGGTTGCAAATTAATTTTGAAGAATGTTAGACATGTTCCTGATATCTGCCTAAATCTGATTTCCACTGGCAGGTTAGATGATGAAGGTTATGAAAATACCTTCAGTGATGGAAAATGGAAGCTCAGTCGGGGCTCACTCATTGTGGCAAAGGGAAAGAAGCACAATACCCTTTATATGATGCAAGCAAGGTTGAGCAAAGGAGAGGTGAATGCAGTTCATGATTCATCCATTGAGCTTTGGCACCGGAGGCTTGGACATTTGAGTGAAAAAGGGATTTAGATATTTTCTAGAGAAAATCTTCTTCCTTATGTGAAAGGTATGCCTCTTGAAACATGTGTACATTGCTTAGCTGGTGAACAGAGTAGAGTTGCATTTCATAAATTTCCTCCATCTAGAAAACCTCATGTTTTAGATTTAATTCACACTGGTGTTTGTTACATGAAAGATAGATCTCTTGGTGGTTTATTATATTTTGTGACATTTATTGATGACCACTCCAAAAAAGTGTGGACATTTGCCTTGAAATCTAAGGATCAGGTGTTGGATGTTTTCAAGTATTTTCATGCCAAGGTTGAGAGAGAAATAGAGAATAAGTTGAAGTGCATCCGAGCTGATATTGGTGGTGAATATAGGGGGGGTTCTTTTGAAGAATATTATAGGATTCATGGTATCAAGCTTGAGAAAAGTGTTCCTAAGACTCCTCAACACAATGGAGTAGCAAAGAGAATGAACAGAACAATTACTGACAGAATCAGATGCATGCTCTCTCATGGTAAGTTACCCAAATCCTTTTGGGGTGAGGCAATGAGAACTGCAGTTGACCTCATCAACATTTCTTCTTCAGTTCCTTTGAATGGATATACTCCTGAAAGAGTTTGGACAGGGAAAACCGTATCATACAGTCATTTGAAAGTGTTTGGTTGCAGGGCATTTGTTCATATTCCTAGAGATGAAAGATCCAAGCTTGATGAGAAGGCTAAATGGTGCATCTTCTTAGGCTATGGGCACGAAGAGTTTGAGTATAGGTTATGGGATCCAATGGACAAAAAAGTGATTAGAAGCAGAGATGTTGTATTTCTTGAGGATCAAACAATTGAAGATATAGAGAAAATTGAGAAGCCAAAATTCTCTATTGATGTTCCAATTAACTTGGATTCGGTTTTCCCACCTACAGTTGATGGTGATCACGAGGGAGCTGTACCAAATGAACAGGATGATACAGTTAGTGATGAAACTCCTATAAATGAAAATATAGAGGAAATACAAAATGAACATGTATCTCCAATTCCTTCACCACAGGTTCAGCTTAGAAGATCAACTAGAGAGAGAAGACCTTCCACTAGGTATCCTCCACATGAGTTTGTGATGCTGACAGATGGGGGAGAGTCAGAGACTTATCAAGAGGCTATGTCACATGATAAGAAATATGAGTGGCTAAAAGCAATGCAAGAGGAATTAAAATCCTTGCATGAGAATCACACCTATGATTTGGTGAAATTACCAAAGGGGAAAAGGGCACTGAAAAACAAATGGGTTTATAAATTGAAATCTGATGAGAGTGGCTCACAACTAAAATACAAGGCAAGGCTGGTTGTGAAGGGTTTCAATCAGAAAAAGGGTATTGACTTTGAAGAAATATTCTCTCCTATGGTGAAAATGTCTTCTATTCGATTTGTGCTTGGACTAGTTGCAAGTCTAAATTTGGAAGTTGAACAGCTTGATGTAAAGACTGTCTTCCTTCATGGTGATTTGGAAGAAGAAATCTATATGGAGCAACCAGAGGGATTCAAAGAAAAAGGAAAAGAACATTTGGTGTGCAAATTAAAGAAAAACTTGTATGGGTTGAAACAAGCACCAAGACAGTGGTACAACAAGATTGACAGGTTGAAAAATGATTCTAACAAGATTGACAGGTTGAAAAATGAGCTTAGCAAGTCTTTTGCAATGGAGGACTTGGGACCAGTTAGACAGATTCTTGGTATGAAGATCTCTCAAGATAGACAGAATGGGAAGTTATGGTTATCTCAAGAAAAATATATTGAGAAGGTTCTTGAGAGGTTCAACATGAGCAATGCAAAACCAGTGACTATTCCACTTGCAGGTCATTTCAAGCTCAACACTAAACAATGTCCTACAAGTGAGAAAGACAAAGCTAAAATGAAGAAAGTGCCTTATGCTTCGGCAGTTGGCAGTTTAATGTATGCTATGGTGTGCACAAGGCCAGATATTGCTCATGTTGTTGGTATAGTTAGTCGATTTCTCTTTAACCCCGACAAAGAACATTGGACAGCAGTAAAATGGATATTTAGGTATCTCAGAGGTACTTCTCAGATATGCTTATACTTCGGGAATGGTAAAGTCATGTTGGATGGGTACACTGATGCAGACATGGCTAGTGATGTTGATTCCCGAAAGTTCACTTCGGGATATTTAATGACTTTTGCAGGAGGAGCAATTTCATAGCAATCCAAATTCCAAAAGTGTGTTTCATTGTCTACTACAGATGTTGAATACATTGCAGTTATAGAAGCCTGTAAGGAGATCCTATGGTTGAAGAAGTTCTTACAAGAATTGGGCATGAAGCAAGAAAGATATGCTCTCTATTGTGACAGTCAACGTGCTATTCATCTCTTTAAAAATCCAACTTTCCACTCAAGATCAAAACATATTGATGTAAGGTACCACTGCATTCGGGATGTATTGGATATGAAATTGTTGAACATTGAGAAGATTCATACTGATGAGAATGGTGTAGACATGTTAACAAAGTCCTTGCCTAGAGACAAATTTGAATTCTGCAAAGAAGTTGTGGGCTTGATGAATCCCCCCATATGAGCTGGAGGGGGAGAATTGTTGGGTGTGGGTCCAGCCCATATGGAGGGGCCCACCCCACCTTCATTTACTCCCTAAAGAAAAGGGAGCCGAATAGTGGGTTACCACATTATTCAATCTTGGTTTTTTGGTGGCATCAAACTAGTAACCACCGAACAGAGAAGGACGAAGAAGGAGAAAAAAAAATTACAAAACCAAAAAGGAAAGTTTTTTCTTGTTTCTTTGAGTTTTGTGAAGAAGAGGAAAAAGTTGGCTCTTGTTCCATTCAAGATCAAATTCGGAAGTGCCTTTCAAGCTCGTTATTAATGATATTAAGTGTTGGAGTTAAGAATCCCACTCCAGTTCAAATTTGATAATTTTTCTTCCTTTTCTCTATTTCTTGGTTCAGATTTACAGCAATTTGGTGATATCTAAACTTATGTTTGTATTGTATCCACTTTGCATTTGGTGATGTTAATGTTGTTCTTGTGAGCCAAGGATTTGTAGAAGCGGATCATAGGTCCCGTGGTTTTTCCCCAATTTTGGGGTTTTCCATGTAAAAATTCGGGTGTATTGTTGTGTGATGATTGTTATATGTTTTTCTGTTACTTGGCTTGTTACTTGACTTGTTTACTATTGTTGGCAAACCCATTTTGACACACAAATTTGGGAGAAAGTTTCTTGCTGGGATTGGTTTTACATTCATTTCTGCTATAGTGTAACTTACCCAATACCTTCCTCTTTCTTCCTCTTGCATTTTCACCCCTGTTCATCGTCTCTTTCGACGATAGCGGAGGAGATCGCAACGGGGAAGGAGTGATCGTCGGAGCGGCGGCGTCTCAATCCACGGTAGTCGTCATCGTTCTAATGCCGGAAACATCAGGCCAAAGCCGCACCTCCTCTGTTCATCGACGTTGTCACACCAAGATCTTGCAGCTTCACCGTTCAGAGGAGGAAACCGGCGCAACTGCCGGGAATGTGCCCGCGAGTCGAAGAACCTAATCTGGTAGTTCAATTTACTCCTACGGATTGTTAGATCGCCATCGAAGCAGGTCATCCTCTCTTTCTGCAAATTACGAAACAGACTCCCGATTCATTTGCTTTGCAGCATCGATCATCCTTCTCTCTGTGTGTATAATTTGTTTTTTCTTTCTACTTTTTTTCTTGTTTCATTTCTCATGTGATTCTGCTGTTATACGTAGTTTGCTTTAATAAATGCCTTGCATGAGAGACAAGTGGAAGAAATGCAAGTTACTGTAGATTTGCATGGAAAGACCCTTTTTTTCATTGCTTCCTTCTCTATCTTTCTTCCTACTCTCTCAATGTCTCTCTCCCTCTTTACTTTTCTGTTATGGTTTTGTCCGCCTTGATTTCTGTTGTGGTGGCAATGGAGGCGGTGGCAACATGCGACAGTGTAAATGTCAATGGGGCTTCAAGTTTGGCCTCTTTGCATAGTTTTTTCTTGGTGGTTGGTAGGGTGGTGGTTGTTTCCAACTTTTTTATTTCAATTTGATTTGTTTATTTTTTTTCCTTTTTTTGTTTTTTCTTTAGCATGTATTCACGTTCTTATCTGTTTTCAATCTGATTTGATCACCGCTTGGAGGGGTTAATGTCAATTTGGTTTCTGCTTAGCATACTTCTGCAACAATACCTTTACCTTCTTCCTTTCCCCCTCCTGTGAATGTGCTTTTGAAGTGGGTCTGAGCTTCCTGTCAGTGCTAAGGTGCAATTTGTATGACAACTTAACCAGCGAGGAAGATATAGAGATCCCAAACAAGCAATCAGATTAGAAATAAATAAAGAAATGGGAAATTCGTTTGGGTGCTCGGTGTCAGGGGAGAGATTGGTATTGGCAGCAAGAGATGGGGACTTGGTGGAAGCGAAGATGCTGCTCGAGTTCAATCTATGCCTCGCCAAGTACTGCACCTTCGGTGGCCTTAATTCCCCTCTCCATTTTGCTGCCGCCAAAGGCCATAACGAAGTATCAAGTCCCTCAACCGTTCTCATCCCTTCTCCCATTTCTATCCTCCTCTTTCTCCTAAGTTCTTATTTCGTTTATTCGATCTTTCTCTAGATTGATACGTTGCTGCTCGAGAATGGTGCCGGCGTCAATTCTAGGAACTACTGCGGTCAGGTAAATTGAGTTCCTTCCTTTATTTTGTCCGTTTTATTCTGGTTATAATTGTTAATTCATCTTATTCATTTTGATCCCATCCAAACATAGATTGAATGAAAATTTTGAACATCGGTTCAATTGTTCAAACCGTTCTAAGTTCGTCTTGCATTTAGATTTAATACGTTAAAGATGGAAATAGTTCTTAATCCACAGATCATCGGACAGCCATGTTGAATCTGATTCGTTTTTTTTTCTCTACCAAAGATGGCATTGATGCAGGCCTGCCGGTATGGGCACTGGGAAGTTGTACAAACTCTTCTTCTGTTTAGAAGCAATGTGAATTCTCTCTCTCTCTCACACACACACACACAATTCTTATTGACCCAAGCTGTTGCAGTTGATGGTGATTCTCCAATCCGTAGAGCCTCCCCATTCGTCACACCCACCATGACTTCAACACCAGTGCCTGCAAGGGCATTTAGCATGTGACGATCGCCATCATAGAGTGAGTGATTTGATTAGCTTTAAGGATTGCCACCATATCTGCAGTTGATGGCAAGTCTGACAGCTGTGCCAATGTTTATTCCCACAAATTCACCTAAAAAGTTCATATAACACAATTCAGAAACTCTCTAAGAAGGAAAAAAACAATTTTGGCTTTCCTCTTGATCATCTGGGCATATAATATATCAGTTATTTTGTTTCAGAGATATTCCTTTAGCAAATATGCGAATGATTTCGAATAATTGAATAAAAAAATGTATAAAGAAATTCTGCTAAGATAGGTCTATACTCTGTAGTATGGTACTGCATTAAAATGTTCCCTTAGCAAACAATTTTGGCTTTCCACGGAGAATGAATCCCAACAAAGATAAGTCTGTATTCTGTAGCATGGTATTGCATTAAAATGTCATAATGTTTATGCTCTTCTTTCCTGACTTTGATATGCTAACATTTTATGTACTTCTCAAGGATGTCCAATGCATCTGACAGTCCTGTTAGGCAAACAAGAGAGCAATTACACCACAATGACAAGCCAAGTCCTGTCAAGCAACTAAGAGATCATATTATTCATCATGACAATTCAGGAGCAAGTGAGGAGGAACTTATTCTCTACAGGTAGGATTGACATTGACTGTTCTGTCAATTTTGACTTCTTAGTTATATTAATTTTGTTTTATTTGGATTTCTAATATTTTAGGGATCATGGGAATAACATTTTTTATTCCTGATGAAAAAGAACAAGGCATTCATCCATAAGTGATGGTCAGAAAAAAACTCTTACAAAGGTTCTTCAGCAAGAAGAATATTCCCCTGAAAAATTAGCTAGCTATGGTTCTGTTGAAGGTTGGAGTCGTCCAGATGACATGCTGCCAATGAAAAAAGAAAAGGACAGAAAAAGGTATAGAGTCATTTCAGTTTTTTTTTGTTCTCTTCATTTATTTACTGATATTTGTGGAAAGACCTATATGTACAAGTTCTGTAGACATGACATCAAACTCTTCTGCAGTGAGAAAGCTTCAGTCAGGACCGATCATCTTGAAAGCCCTATTCAGCGGACATCACCAATGTTGGAAGAAGTTGAATATGGGCCAGGGAGGCTAATGACAAGTTGACAATTATAATATTGGTCAACCTGGTAAACCAGTGATTTTGCGAGCTTTCTGGTCTTAATGTCTGCTTCGTTCTTAACAACACTGTTTCTGGGAGATACCTTGAACTGTTTTTTGGGTAGAGAGATGCCTTTGGCTTTATTTTATTTTCCAACTATAAATGGAATTCTGGTTTTGTGCCCTAATTGAACCCAAATTTAATTTCAACCATGGTAGTCTATAGGGTTTAACCTTGATGTGATAAAGATGGAATTTATGCTGATTTGATGCTAAGTTATTGTTTCCCGGTCTTCCCCATCCAATGCAAAGATTGCTTATTGATGGGGTATTGCTTCCTTGATGAAACTAATTTTGAAGTATGCATGTTTTGCAATTTTGGTTTTTATGGAACGGAGGGGTTTTTATTCATTAGAAGCAATTAAAGGGAGATATTGGTTTGCTATTTTGGACTGGTTGTCATCAGCAAACATTACAACTGAGGTCCTGGTTTTTAGAGTCCCTTACTGTCTGGTCGGTGTTAGCAAAGTTGTGTATCCCAAGTGGCGCCGGTGCTTAGTTTTTACAGAGGGGTTTAGTTATTGATTGACTAGAAATCTTGTTCAGTTGGAGTGGCAAGAGTGGGGTTCGTGAATTTTCAGTAGTTTTGGCAGTCATCTTGTAAAATGGTTTTTAGTTTGTGATGAAGGGTGATTTGGCCCAACCTAACGAGAAGGGGATACGTGGACACAACTTGATTAAGGGATGACAGCTCAGCCTAGTAAGCCTAGTTCACAACATTTGAGCTCGAGAATTCAGCCACCTCGGCCTAAAACTCACCTCGACATCAAGGCACCTCGGCATCCAATCCAGTTCGGAACTAAAGAACCAAAGTACCAGTTTGGGACTAACAATCTGAATCGCCATGTAACTGATTCCTACGTAACCAACTCTAGAGGTCTCTCCAATGGATTCCGAATCTCTCGAGATCACGATGAGCTAACAGATCCCGACTTTTGAAATTATGATGAGGACTCATCTCGGCTCCGCCAGAGTCGGAAGTGGAACGATAAACCTTACCTACATACTGCTCCTTCGAAAGCGGAACGAATTCTATCTCCACACCCTGGAGATCCCGGAGCTCTTTCATGAGTCCCACGACTACTTTAGTATATAAAGACTGGAACCTCAAGGCAAAAGGTACGCGTGATTACTCTACTCTCTAGCTCTCAAGCTTTCAAGCTCTCAAGCAGTCAGCTCACATCACAATATACTAACTTAAGTATCGGAGCGATCTCACTGGGTTAGCCACCCCAGGTTCTCTGATCCACTGTCTTGCAGATTCATCCAACTCGTTGCTCGATGGAAGCCAAATCATCCTACAGCTTGGAGTAGTCAGATCGCGCAACAACAATTGGTGTGTCTATGGGAAACGATCAAAAGGTCATTCCCATTCTTCAGTTTTCAACCTTGATTTCTACGTCAATGGAATCTTCCAGTCATACCGGGAAAAGCAACGAGATGAACGTCTCCGGGGGGACAACCCCAACTCCCTACGGTATGCATCGGCCAGTTCACCATCCCGCTTACTGCGTGTAGGGTTCCAACGCTGACTGCACCACCAAACACCACACAGGTAAGTGCCCCACCTCCCCTGATGGTAGGCACAACTTTTTCTGAGCCTTCTGTGGTTCCCCCTAGAGTCGGGCAGTCCCAGTTCAACGACCTGGTTCAGTGCGTTCGGGTTATCCAGATTTAGATGCAGCAGGTCCAACAATTTCAACAGTACCAACAATACCAGCATCAGTTCCTTCCACTGCCGTAGAACTAGTAGCCGGTTCCACCTCGGCACCTAGGGGCCCATCAGAATCAGAACCGGCCTCGGATTAACTAGAATATCAGTCGATCTCCCCACCAGGGTGAATAGACCTCCCAAATCCTGATTCCTCTCAGGAGTCAGGTCTCGCCCCATGGGAGAAGAAACGGTCAGCTTACTCCACCGGCCTTGCAAGGGAACCTCAGAAATAGGTCCGGGGATACTCAGCCTAACAATACCAACCCTCCTCGGCATTCACAGCCAGAAAATGACGGTTCACTAGAAGGTAACCAGTTCGGGGTTCGAGGTGCGAACTCGAGACAGGGCCTCTTTGTCCGTGATAGCCAGCCCCAGAATCCCACAAGGAATGAGGAGTTACCTCGTAGTAGAGCGGTACCAGAGCATACCGAAGTCAGCAACACCAACATCGAGTCGGTGAAGAAACAACAACGGAGACGTCGCAAAGCACATCATACCTCGACTCAGAACAGCTAGCTAGCAAAGCCAAGCTAACAAGAAGGGTGAGCCATAGGTAAGGAAGAAGCAAGCTCGGTGGCTACAAAGGCCACTCCTCCACTACTTTGCAGGTCTCCCTTGTCTCTTGAGCTCTTAGCGACCCCGATGCCTAAAGACTTCAAGATGCCTCCTTTAGACAAGTACGACGGGTCCTTCGATCCTAATGATCATGTGGACTCTTTCCAGTCCCAGATGCACCTAGCTGGGGCTGATGAGTCTTGCATGTGTGTAGCTTTTTCCACTACCTTTAAAGGGGTAGTTCGGACCTAGTATCAGAACCTCGCGCCAGGATCGATCAAAAGCTGGACGTAGTTCGCAGACTTATTTACATCGCACTTCATCACTAGTAAGAAGTGCCTGAAGTCGTAGGAAAGCCTTTTCAACATAGTTCAAAGGGAAGGAGAATCGATCAAAAGCTACATTAAGCACTTCAACGACACCTGCCTACAGATACTAGACCTCGACCTGGCGGTAAGACTCACGGCAGCGAAGAAAGGAATAACCCACAGGGAGTTTAAATGGCATGTGGTGGCCAACAAACCAAAGGACATCACCGAATTCCTCAAGCTAGCCGATCAGTTCATCGGTACTGAAGAGGAAATCAATCAGAAGGCTGACAACCCAACAAAAAAAAGGAAAAGAGACAATGAAGAAACAGGTAATGGCAGACAAAAAATAAGGAAGAGCAAGTCCCCGAGCAAGGGAAGAAACAAATCCAGAAGCCGATCTCCCTCACAAACTCGCAAATCAGGTCAACGCTCTATGACCCCACCTGTTGAAAGAACGAACTACACGCCATTGAACGCTAAGCGAAGAGAAATCCTAATGGCCATTAAGGACTCCTCCTTCGTCAAATGGTCTCATAGGTTAAGGGGAGATCTTGCAACAAGGAACTGAAATGTCTACTGTCATTTCCATAGAGACCACGGACACAGCACAGAAAACTATAGGAACCTCCGTGACGAAATTGAGGAGCTTATCCGTCGCAGATACCTACAAAATTTCATACAGCAAGAAAAGAGAGGTCAGGCAGATCGGCAAATAGATCGACAGGGGGACCAGAGAAGGAATGCTCCCGAGACCAGGAGGCAGAACGACCAACCACCGAAACAGTTACCCGAGGAAATACCGATCCGCGGGGTAATCAACATGATTATTGGCGGGTCCATCATCGCGGGGCATACATCAGCAGCCAGATGGACCTTAGTCCGCGAGCTAGAAGATGAAGAGGAAAACCCGCCAAAGCGACCTCGGCTTGAAGAACCAATATACTTCACAAAGGGCGATGCACGCGGGATCCAGTACCCTCATGATGATGCCCTAGTGGTAAAATTGAGGATCAACAACTTCGAAGTGAAGCGTATCCTGGTGGACTCAAGTAGCTCGGCGGATATTTCATTCAAGGAAACTTTTGACAAGCTACAGCTACAGCAGAGAGATCTAAAACCGGTAGACACTCCTCTGGTAGGCTTCAGCGATGAGAAGGCCAGACCTCTCGGACGAGTCACGGTACCCGTAGAGGCCGGCACGTGGCCGAATATCGCAAGGTTTAAGCACACATTCCTGGTGGTCGCGATTCCCTCTCCCTATAACGCCATAGTAGGTCGACCCATTACGCACGTCCTACGTGCGGTAGTATCCACCTACTACCTGGCGATGAAGTTTCCAATTGACTATGGGGTAGGAGTTGTGCGAGGTGACTAGCTTGAGTCTTGCAAGTGCTATGTAGTTGCTCTCAAAGGGAAAGCGAAGCTAGCGGATGACGTCGAGCTCGAGCAACCAGTGAAATATGCCAACGAGCGAGCTTCCCCGACAGAGGAGATGTCCACATCTTGGTCTCAGTCGATGACCCAGCCAAGACTCTCCAGATTGGTGCCTCGATCAACGAGCCACTTCGCTCCCGGCTAGTAAGTTTCTTACTAAAAAACTTAGATATTTTTGCTTGGTCCACGGAAGAAATGCCTGAAATAGACTCCAAGATTCTAACTCATAAATTGAATACCGACCCCTTAGTCAGGCCAGTAAGACAGAAGAAGCGCAACCTCACCCCGGAACGTTGGAGGTTAGTCGGTGAAGAGGTCGGGAAGCTCCTTGCGGCAGACTTCATCAGGGAAGTTCATTACAAAGTTGGGTGGCTAACCTAGTTCTGGTAAAAAAGGCCAATGGAAAGTGGCGCATGTGCTTCGATTACACCGACATGAATAGAGCTTGCCCGAAAGATTGCTTCCCGTTGCCCAAGATCGACCACCTAGTTGACGCGACCTCAGGGCATGAGTTGCTGAGCTTCCTGGATGCCTATTCCAGTTACAACCAGATTAAGATGAACCCTACCAACGAAGAGAAAACTGCTTTTATAACTAAGCTCTGGTTGTACTGTTACAAGGTCATGCCCTTCGGACTAAAAAATGTCGGGCAACCTTTCAACGCCTTGTAAATAAAATTTTTGAGTCGTTAATCAGCAATAAAATAGAGTGTTACATTGATGACCTGGTCGTGAAGACCCAGTTTTCAAATTTCTTGTTGAATGATTTACAAAGTGTTTTTCAAATTTTGCGAAAATACAATATGAAATCAAATCCAAACAAATGTGTCTTCGGAGTCACCTCGGGCAAGTTCCTAGGCTATATAGTCAACCGACGTGGCATCGAAGCCAACCTGGATAAAATAAAGGCCATCCTAGATATGAGACCACCCTGCAAAATAAAAGAGGTTTAGAGGCTGACTGGCTGGATAGTCACCCTGAGCCGCTTCATGTCCAAGTCAATAGATCGTTGCCTACCCTTTTTTAAAGCCATAAAAAAGAGTAAGGACTTTGAATGGACTGAAGAGTGTTAGCTCACTTCGACAAGCTAAAAAGATACTTAGGTACCACCCCAGTTTTAACTCAACCCGAGGAAGGGGACGTACTAAAGTTGTACTTCTCCACGAGTGACGAAGTGGTCAGCTCGGTACTAATCAAAGAAATAGATCGGGTCCAACGACCCAT